TTAAACAAGTACAGACCAAAAAGATATTTTCAAAATTTGATTGTAAGTCAGGGTTTTGGCAAATCATGCTTACAGAAGAAAGTAAACCACTAACTGCATTTAGTACCCCCAATCCTTTAGGACAATACGAATGGAATGTAATGCCATTTGGGTTGAAAAATGCACCGCAGATATTCCAAAGAAGAATAGATGAGGTAATAAAACCTATTACTCATTTCTGTATTGCATATGTAGATGATTTACTTATTCATTCAAATAATATTGATGAACATCTTGAGAAATTTTGTTATATTATGAAAAAAACATGGTATTACACTTTTTCAAAAGAAAGTTGAGATAGCCAAAACAGAGATAGAATTTTTAGGATTATTTATAAAAGAAGGAGAATTGCAATTGCAATATCACATTAGAGAAATTTCAAGAATTTTCTGAAGAAATCAAAGATAAAAAAAATAATTACAAAGCTACCTTGGTATATTAAATTATGCTGAAGGATTCATTGAAAATTGTGCTAAATTAAAAAATTATTTTCTTCCAAAGTTAAGAAAAAATATAATGTGGTCTTGGAAAAAACAAGATTCTGAAAATATAAGGAAAGTTAAAGAAGAACTAAAGGTGTTGCCCAAACTTGTAATACCACAAGAAGGAGATTTCTTTATCCTGGAAACTGATGTTTCAGATTATTACTGGGGAGCAGTGTTAAAGGTTAAAAAGAATCATAAAAAATATAAATGTGAAAAAGACTGTTCTTGCCCCGAAATACTTGCGGGTTATACATCAGGAATATTTAAAGAAGTTGAAACAAGATATGAGACGAACAGAAAAGAACTCATTGCTGTAAAAAGAGGAGTTCAAAAATATGAAGATTATTTACTACCAAAGAAGTTCTTGATTAGAACTGACAATACTCAAGTTAAAGCATTTTTGAAAAATAATGTTGATCCATCTATTACCAATAGATATATTATTAGAATACAAATTTGGTTCTCATACTTCGAATTTGATATTGAATATATTAAAGGAAAAGCTAACTTTCTTCCTGATTATCTTAGCAGGGATGGAGCTAGAACATCTAAGGACGAAAGTCCAAATACATGAGATAAAAGTTTCCTATTTGAAAACCCAAATTCAAAATATCCAAGATAGCCTTCGAGGCAAAAATATAGCCCTTGAGGTAGAAGTTACTTGTACCAAGACTAGTATCCCTTCGCAGGGACTTGTGAATACTAGCGCTCTCCCCGAGGATAAAGGGAAAAAAAGAAGGTAATAGGAACCCCTTCACAGGGAATACTCAAACCTATTACTGGCAAAAAGATATTCAAGATATCAAAAGAGAAGGTAGC